GAAAGGCAAAGGCACAAAATGAGATCAAACTAGCTACAGGCATAAAGGGAAACAAGAAGACCTTTTATAAATACATTAAAAGCAAGAGGAAGACCAAGGACAGGGTAGGCCCACTGCTTAGTGAGGAGGGAGAAGCAGTAACAGGGAACTTGGAAATGGCGGAGATGCTCAATGACTTCTTTGTTTCGGTCTTCACCGAGAAGTCTGGAGGTGTGCCTAACGTAGTGAATACAAGCAGAGAGAGGGTAAGTTTAGAAGATAGGATACACAAAGAACAAGTTAAAAATCACTTAGGAAAGTTAGATGTCAGCAAGTCACCAGGTCCTGATGAAATGCATCCCAGGATACTCAAGGAGCTGATAGAGGAGGTATCTGAGCCTTTAGCTATGATCTTTGAAAAATCATGGCAGACAGGGGAGATTCCAGAAGACTGGAAAAGGGCAAATATTGTGCCCATCTATAAAAAGGGGAATAAGAACAACCCAGGAAATTATAGACCGGTCAGTTTAACGTCTGTCCCAGGGAAGATAATGGAGCAGGTAATTAAGGAAATCATATGCAAACACTTGGAAGGTAATAAAGTGATAGGGAATAGCCAGCATGGGTTTGTGAAGAACAAGTCATGCCAAACTAATCTGATAGCTTTCTTTGATAAGATAACGAGCCTTGTGGATAAGGGAGAAGCGGTGGATGTCATATACCTAGACTTTAGTAAGGCATTTGATACGGTCTCGCATGATATTCTTATTGATAAACTAGGCAAATATAACTTAGATAGGGCCACGATAAGGTGGGTGCATAATTGGCTGGATAACCGTAGTCAGAGAGTTGTTGTTAACGGTTCTAAATCCTGCTGGAAAGGGATAACAAGTGGAGTTCCTCAAGGGTCTGTTTTGGGACCCGTACTGTTCAATATCTTCATCAATGATGTAGATATTGGGATAGAGAGTACTCTTATTAAGTTTGCAGATGATACCAAACTGGGTGGGGTTGCAACTTCTTTGGAGGATAGGGACATAATTCAAAATGACCTTAGCAAGTTAGAGAAATGGTCGGAGGTAAACAGGATGAGGTTTAATAAGGAGAAATGCAGAGTGCTCCACTTAGGAAGGAACAATCAGTTCCATACATACAAGATGGGAAGCGACTGTCTAGGAAGGAGCATGGCGGAAAGGGATCTAGGGGTCATAGTGGACCACAAGTTGAATATGAGTCAACAGTGTGATGCTGTTGCAAAAAAAGCAAATATGATTCTAGGTTGTATCAACAGGTGTGTTGTAAGCAAAACTCGTGAAGTCATTCTGCCGCTCTATTCTGCACTAGTTAGGCCTCAGCTGGAGTACTGTGTCCAGTTCTGGGCGCCACATTTCAAGAAAGATGTGGAGAAATTGGAAAGGGTACAGAGAAGAGTGACAAGAATGATTAAAGGTCTAGAGAGCATGACCTATGAAGCCAGGCTTCATGAACTGGGCTTGTTTAGTTTGGAAAAAAGAAGATTAAGGGGGGACATGATAGTGGTTTTCAAATATCTAAAAGGGTGTCACAAGGAGGAAGGCGAAAATTTGTTCCTCTTGGTTTCTGAGGACAGGACATGGAGTAATGGGCTTAAAGTGCAGCAGGGGAGGTTTAGATTGGACATTAGGAAAAAATTCCTAACTGTTAGGGTGGTCAAATATTGGAATAAATTGCCAAGGGAGGTGGTGGAATCTCCCTCTCTGGAGATATTTAAGAACAGGTTAGATAGACATCTGTCAGGGATGGTGTAGACGGAGCTTGATCCTGCCTTGAGGGCGGGGGGCTGGACTCGATGACCTCTCGAGGTCCCTTCCAGTCCTATTATTCTATGATTCTATGATTCTATGAAAGTTAGTTCGAACTAACTTTGTAGTGTAGACATACCCCCAGATACTAACCTTTTTTAAAAAGCTAAAAGGACATTAATTACTTTCCAAATAAGCCATTTCTCTAACTGCTGTGGACATGTGGTACCTTCTTGACTGGAAGTGGAGATGGTGCACTCACAGAGTTCATCTACACTGCACCAGAATCTCGAAATAAGCTATGCAACTTGAGCTACACTAATTGCATAGCTTATTTTGAGTTCATTTCAAAATAGCTTATTTTGTAAATCTACACAATGCCAAATTTCAGAATTAACCACTATTCTGAAACGTCCTTGTGGAACAAGGTTTGTTGGAATAGCGAGACCATTATATTTCAAAATAATGGGCTTGCTTAAAAGATGCGGAGTAGCTATTTCAGGATGCCAGAAGTATCCTGAAATAGCACCACGGTGTAGACGTACCCACAGAGAATTATGCCCAGGATGCAGGGTTGTCCATAAAACAATCTTGTCATTAAGGGGTGCTCCAAAACTTTGTCTACAGCCCTGGTAATATCAGTTGTTGAGATAAGAATCATATGGGGTTTTCTAAAGATTTTGTGTGTCTTCCACTATCCACTGGATAAAATAACTACCAGCTCTTCATCACTGATTAGAATTAATATGGTGGTTTGTATACATCAGGGAAGACAAAATGCCCTCTTCCTATCCTGTCTGATAATGTAAGAATGACATCAGAGCTCATCCAATTTATGACTTCATAACAGATAGCTCTGAAGGGGGCACAGGGAAAGGATTGGCTATGTCCCTTTTGGCTTGCCAAGAAATTTCTACATGCAGGTAAGTCTGCAGCAAGAGTGCAGGAAACAGAAGAAATCTTTGTCTCAGGAAAGACTTTGAGACACCAACAAACTTTGCTTAGAAGAAGAGTCAGGGCAGGCCTGGAATGAGGAAAGGGATTATGGTATATTTGGGTTCTTTCAGCACTTAATGACAGTTTGATGTTAGCTCATCAGCTAGGGATTGCACTGCAGGAAATGCCACAAGGAGGGTCAGAGTCATCCCTCTGGATCACTTGCCTGGAACTCTGTAGATTTATTCACAATTTGACAAAGACAGGCCACTTGATTGGGTAACCTTTTGCACAAACATATCAATCATTCTATCTATCAATTTCACAATGTGTCTTTGCTCTCTGTGCTGGACAGCCCTACCAAGCAGATTCTTGTAGGTGTTTCAGAAAATTAAATTTCAATTCCAGCAGGAGATTGCAGGGATGACAATTATAGCATCTCACAACAAATCAGGGATTTGGTACTGGATCAACAGCAAGACAATATGCAAAAACCTCCTATGGGGGTGTTTGGGCCCCATAGGAGTGAAATTCTTCCAACCCAGCTTTTCAGCCAGCTGGATGAATTGTAAGGCTGCAAGGAGACCCACCAACAGGCTCTAGCAATGGACACATTTCTGCTGTCTTGGGTGTCATGGGTCCATTTGTTGACCCTACATTCTCGCTATATGTTAGGCAACAGGCAACAAAAATCCTGGATGCATTGGTGACAACAGGAATTGCCCTTCTCCAACCTTATCTTATTTCCAGAGCTGGAAAACACCATCAGTAATCCAGAAGACAGGCTTCACACACAACAGATTCTCTCCTCCTCGAGTCATGGAAGATTTACAAAGAGCCTAGAGGTTAGCTCATGCTGTACAAGACAGAAAGCTATTAATTTCAGCCTGGTCATTCGACACTTGCTGGTTTGTTTGTTTTTCATGACAAATAGATTCTGTTTGTATCTGTGTGCTTGGTGATGAAAGTCCTTACCAACCTCCACCTCTGCCCCTCCCCATTACTGGGAAAGTAAGACATACAAGATAAACTGTTCAATTTAGCCATTCAGACTGACATAAGGTCAATTTTTGAGACAAAACCATGTGGAATTCAATTTGAAATGCTTCAGCTCTTACTCCCAAATACACAGTTCTCCAGAAAGCAGGGAAGAGGGATACAGAATTAGGTCTACAACTCTAATGGCACCGTAAGTGATGATGCATAGCATCCTGTTAAACTATTTAGCTACTCTTTAGGATTTTAGGAGAATCAGCTGCCAGCAACCTGCAATGTGCTTATACTTTTGTGCAACAAAAAAATTTCTGAAGATTTCTAACTATGGATACTTGCATGTTTGGGACCTTAGAACTTTGCTGTTTAGAAGCAGCTGAATGGAGCAAAGGGAGACACGTGGCTATTGCGGACACAAGTAATCATATGGCACCTGCATTTTCAGCTAATAAATGGGTCTGGTTAAAACATCTGGCTGATTTTACATCTAAACCAGGCCTGGGCAAAATACAGCCCGCGGGTCAAATCTGACCCACCAAGCCACTGGATCTGGCCTGTAGACACAGCGGGGAGCCCTAGAGAGGCTCCCCTGTTTGCCCCGCAGCCTCACACACTGCTCAGAAAAGCAGCTGCGGGGCACTTTCTTTTTAAAAACTGAACTTGGAGGGGAGGGGAGAAGGCTTCAGGTGTAACTCCCATCCCAGCGGCCTGCTTCTGGACCGAAACTTGTCAATGGGAGCTGCCTGTTTGAATAACAGGAAGCACACAAAGCAGGGGGCGGGGCAGGCAGGCTGGCTGAGAAACTTTTTAAACTCTGCAAGCATTTAGCTCTGCAGGGAGGCAGGCTGGTTGGGCTTCTGGCTGGTAAGTCTCCTGGACATAGCCTGCCTCTGGCACCCCAGCCGCTCTCTTCCCCAACCCTCTGTCTTAACATACCCAAACCCTCCTGAACCTATACCCCAACCCAGATCTGGCACCCCAGTCTCCTGCCTAGGTTACAATCCAAACCCCTGTACCCCAGTCACCTGCCCTAGATCACAACTCCCTCCACCGAAACTCCCTCCCTGATCCCATCCTCCCTCCTGCACCCCAATCCCTTACCCCAAGCTCCCTTCTGCACTCAACCTCCATCCCAGACCACACACCTCCTCCATTAATACCATGGAAGAGTGTGACCCTCAACCACTTTCCAAAATCTTGGAGTGCCCCCCCATCAAAAATTATTGCCCACCCCTGCTGGAGACACTCCTATTGTGTCGATATAATCCAGATAATGATTCATCTGATCATAACAGCACAGAAACCCCACTGATCTGACTTGCGTATCTTGATGAACTAGCCAATTTTTGGTCCCACCCCTTGCAAATCTCTTGCATACATAAAGAGCAAATGTAGCTGATCATCTTACACCAAAAGAAACTAACTATACTACCATAAGTGAATCCCAGAACAAAGGTGCTGCAAAAAGCTAGATCCTGCCAAGTTTGGTTTAAATGGACTTTTGTGTGTTGTTTTGTATGTGTGTATGTGAATCAGCCAAATTCCAATGTCTAAATAGAGAAGATGTTCACATACCCTTGCTGCACACTATGAATCCTGGACCCTGTGTCCTCATGAAACTGCACCAAGAAAAGTTGGATCCAGCAGTTCGATTTTACCCTGTCCTGACAAATGTTGGCCACCCCCTGGGAAACTGCACCTACAAATACAAACAAGGTATCACTGCTGCCAGTTGCAGAGGCACTACATCTAGACAGCAAAGCTAAGGGAGGGGTGGGAATGCCAGGTGTGATGCAGCCCAAAGTTAGCTGGGCCCAGCAGGAGACAGGTGCCAGCTTTTGCAGTGGCTTTGTGCCAGGCAGCTGCAGAGGGTGGGTGGAATCTGTCCCCTCTACCGAGCAGTGGAGAAGTCCTTCCCTCTGGGCTGCCACCTCCCCGTCCCCAGCCCCCCTCCAGCCCTTTACAGCCAAATCTCCAAGTCCTCCCATGCGAAGGCGAGTGGGGCTGTGACTCCAGGAGCAGGCTCCTGCCTTTCCTGCCTGCAGCGGCAGCCGGAGCCGGGCAGGGGCGCTCTCCCCTCGGAGCTGGAGCCCGCAGAGCCAGCGAACGCCTCCCCCGGCGAGTGGCTGCCCTTCCAGGCGCAGAAGTTCTCGCAGCCCCAGCAGAGCCGGAGGAGGCGGGCGAGCGCAGAACTCGCCCGGAGCGGCCGCTGCCTGGCCCCGCACCCCGCCGCTCCCTCCCTCCCTCCTCCGCGGCCGCTGCTGCATGAGGCGCCCGGGGCTGCGCTCCGGGGCCACCTGTTCCGCTCCGCGCCCGCCCGTGCCCGCCGCTGGCCATGGACGCCTCGCTGGGCAATCAGACCGGGGCGGCGGGGCTCTTCGCCGCCAACAGCAGTGACTCCCTGGGGAGGCTGCTGAACTGCTGCACCCCGGCCTCGGTGGTGACGGACAACGGCTTGGCAGGGAGCGGCCCGGACGAGCGGAGCCTCTACATCATGCGGGTGGTGCAGATCGCGGTCATGTGCGTGCTCTCGCTCACCGTGGTCTTCGGCATCTTCTTCCTGGGCTGCAACCTGCTCATCAAGTCCGAGGGGATGATCAACTTCTTGGTGAAGGACCGGCGGCCGTCCAAGGAGGCGGAGGCGGTGGTGGTGGGGCCCTACTGACTGGCGAGCGAACAGGTGGCACCGCCGCGCCGGCCCCCGTGGCCTTTTGTGCGAGGAGGCCAGCCCCGCCCCGGGACCTGCCGCCGGGGGGCTCTTTCCCGGCTGCCGGGAGTCGGTCCAGGATCTCCCGCGCCTGCTGCGCGGGGCTGGCGGCGCCCGAGGATGGGTGGCTGGGGGCGAGGACAGCCCCGGCCGGGCAGCCCCTGCGTGTTACGGCCGGAGCGGCGCCTCCTGCAGGGGCTTGTACATAGCGGCGCTGGCGCGCCGGGTGGGTGGGGGGCTGCTGCATGGCGAGTGTTAATTCCTGTGGTAAACGAGATTTGCTTCCGAGGGGCTGCGGGAGCTCAGCGGGGACTGGAGATCGGCGCCTGGGCTCGGCGGGACGCGGGGGGTACAGCGCGTGGCCTCTGGCCCAGCCCCGGCGATGGGCGAAGTTGTCTTTCTGCGGGAGCGCTCTCGGCTCGCCAAGTTTGTACCGGTCCCTCCTGCGCCTGCGAGCCGCTCCGCTGAGCCCTCGCTCGCCACGGCCCGGGCTGCCCCGCCACACGCGCTCGGCCGGTTGTTGTTGTTCTTTTCCTGGTTTCATTGGCTTTAATAAATACACCTTAAACTTTTAGACCCTGCGCTCTTGGGGTCCTTGTGCGCATCCCCCGCCGGCCACCCCGTTCGCTCTCGGGTCTGCAGGCGCACCGCCTCCGCTCAGAAAACACGGGTCGAGGCTCGGGAGAGGGCAAAGGGGATCAGCCCAGGGCACAACCCAAGAACCGCGACTATCGTAACGCTGCGGGAATCGAACGGCAACGCGCTTTGCCTCGCAAGTCTGCTCCCCCCCCAGTTTAGGAGCTCGCGGGGCTTAGCAGAGTGCCGCTACAGGAGGTCAGTTTCACCCAAGGGTCGTTTTAAAGCGCGTCCTCCCGTGTTAGGACGGAGCTGGGGGGAAGGCTACGCGTCTGTCACAGGGTGGGATCCACCATGAAAAGCATGTTACGCAGCTAGTAAAAAGTGGGGAGTTGTGCTCTGCTAGGAGTCATCGCTCCTGTAATTAGCTTTAGAAAGGGAACTTTGATGAAAAAAGTATCGATTGAATCAATGTCCGCGGCAAGTCGATTGAGCCTGAAATACACAACACAGTCAATACCTCGTCTTTGCAACTCAGGAATCTGCCGTTTTATTTTGCCTTTTAAAACATCCTTTTGAGCAATAGTGACACACAAAGGCGATGGGGGCTAGGCCTAAAAGTAAGACCAGCACTTTGAACGAACAGCCTGGAATCCCGCCAAGAGCCAAAAACGTGCCTTGGTTCTTACACGTTAGCTCGAGCCTTTGATCAGTGCTATAGCCGGATTTTAGGGCTTGCTGTACTGTGTGTGTGTTCTTCCCCCACCCTCAGAATACTTTTTAAAAAATAGATAAAACCCTCCCTGCAAAATGAATCACTATGGTCACATTCCTTTGGGGATAAAATTACACACTGAAAGGATCTGCGTTTTCATTACATTCATTTCCTTTAAAAGGATAATGGAGCAGCTTTCTGCCTGGGGTTCTGCATGCCAGCTTATCAAAGCCCTAAGGGCTTGGACTAGTCAATACATCTGCATTTGCTCTAGGAGTAAAACTGGCATAAATGCCGCCACTGGCTGAAGGCATGCAAAAAGACTTCAGCAACCTGTCTGAAAGCCAAATATCTCTGTCCCCGATGTAGAAAATATTGGAGCAAAACTTCTTTTTAAAATTCTAATACATAGGCAGACCATTTTCATTTTTTCTTTAACTTTTCTTTTAAAAGTTTTTAAAATGTTGCTTGATCCATCAAAGGCTCATCAAAAAGACCACAGATCTGACCCGATTTTTGTGTTAGTCAAGTTATTAAAAACTTCCTGCTTCAATTGATCAGGATAACATTTATTAAATACAAAATGAACCAGCACACTAGAGAGAGTGAAGTTGAACAGGTTCTGAGATGATAGCTCCACTATGAATAATAAAAAGAATTTACACCGTTCAACACAAACCACTGAGAAACAGATAATTCCCAGCAGTATCATTCACTGCTTTTAATGGGAAGACAAGGAAGATATCTGCTTGTTCTCTTTGGAATAAACCTGTCTGTGAAATTTGTTACTGAATTAAAGTAAAGCCAGATGTCTGAGACATCTTTCAGATTAGACGTTGGCAAGATGTGTCACCACAACTCCATTTTTTCCTTAATTCTACTTTTTGTTTTGTTTTGTTTTGTTAGCAATGCAGTAGGCTGGTACAAGCAACAACTCAATGTATAATGTTTAGTCATTTGAAACATCACAAATAGGCAGTTGCCAGTAACCTGAGTTGCAAAATATACAATATATTCATGAATCATCTGGGAGTTGGCCCTGTTCACCTGCATTTATGACACACTAAACAAATTGCTTTCAGAAGCCTCAACATTTTCACCGTTGTAAATCTAATAGATGACAAACCCCTATTTTTGTAACAAAACATCATGAGTACATGATTTACTGATTAACAGGACAGAATTGCAGAAAACTGACTCCCAGCCCAAACAAGGGGCTTCTTATAAAGGATAAGTTCCCAGGCGTAACAAAATATTTGTGATGGATAAATTACTTTTAAAAAAGAGCTCTTTATAATGACCATTCATTTCAATTTGAAAATTGTGTTTGAAAGACATTTTTGTTCAACCGTTTCTTCCCTAAATCCTTCACTGATATTAACCCTAGCTGACACCTACCCCTTTCTGCAGTAGAAACCCAGAGAAAGGCCATGAGGATTTTGATCCTCAAGAAGCATAGATATTCTGGGCATATATAGTATGCAATTGCTAAAGAGGAGGAGAGGGAAACGGAGGGAAAATATTTCTCTGAACCAGACACAAATAATTGTCCCCCAAACCAATTTATGTCAAGATTCTGCTAACTACACTCACCTCCAGTCTTCTACCAAGGAAGAAATAATTTACTTCCCAGGAATCCCAGCTCACACTTACCTGTGCTAAACACAACTGGGCACCAGCAACTCATGAGACTGATGGGCAGACAGCTATGCGAAGAAGGCAGCTTCTTTAGACCAGTTTACATCTATCTATCTAGTGGAAGTTTTAGCAGAGCATTTAGAAATCTCAGACCTGAAGTTACCCCTTTGTGATTTCGAAGACACAGAACTCCCAGTACACACTATAAGAAAACAGTATGGGTTAAAGCAAAGTAATTAGTTGGAATACCATATGGTATTATAATACCAGTAATTTACCAGATGACTTATTTCCCTGATATTTACCTTGCCTAACTGAGTGTTTTATGGAATGTTAACTTGTCTGACAAAATTGGCTTAGGATTTCAGAAGAGTTTTGTGACAATTCAATCATACAATAATATCCAACCCCTCCACAAACTCCTTTTCTGTTTTGTTGCTTTAAGTGGTAGTAGAGTATTATAACCCCAAAACTCCTGGTTAATTTTGCATCTTTTCATTTTCCAACACATGAAGTTCTTAATACCACTTGGTAAAACAAAATCTAAAACTGACATCATAATAAAGGTCCTGGAAGGAAATTTTCTATTATACATAAAAATGCTGGTTGCACTGATGTTCAGTGACTTTAATGGAATTAACAGTTACAAGAGTGTGCAGAAGAATTGGAAACTTACTCCATTCTATATTTATATTATTTGCCAATACTCTGAATTGGAGATATATCTATATCTACTTTGCTTTGCTTAAAAGAAGGGTGAAGTAAATTGAGTAATACAGGATTAATTGAGAGGAATTTAGATGCATTATTCACAGTTGCTTCAAGTGTGCAGAACAAGATATAACAGAAAAAAAGATTCCTTATGGATGTAATTCTTTTAGTTCTGTGGTGAAACATAACCCTTAGAAAACCTATACAAATTCTATTATGTCCTCTTTCTCCCTAACAACTAACAGCACATTTCTCTTTCATATCTCACTCGGGTTTTGCATCTTTCCTTGCAGCTGGCTATGGAATGCTAGTTTTGAAACATCACTGAATAATTACAGACTTCACCCTTTCTCTGAAAGCTGGCTACAATGTGTGATGAGCCCTCAAAACAGGAGTCAAAGATTATCTAAGTTACTTGCCAAAAAGCTACGGAAACATTTTGCTCATCCTATGAAATGGGAAACACTTATTAAGAGAGCTCCAGCAACTGCAATTGCTTTTAGATACACCCATTTAAATGTTCTCAGGCTAAATTTGTCTAGATGGCTGTGCAATTTTAATTTTATGCTTGCCACAGGATAGTGGCAATAATAATCAAATGAAAATTTTAAGTATCTAGAAAATGCCTGCTGCTTCTGATAAAATACATGCAAGCATTAAGTCTTATTTTGCACACGTATTTAGGCAAAATTCCCATTGATTTCAAAGGGAGATTAACCTGAATAAAGAGTGTGGGGTATTTAGTGTTGTTCATTCCTAGTTAATAAAACAAGCTTTATTGTTTTAGGGTCAGCTAAATTATATCATATGTATCACTTAAAGTGCCCATATATTCATAGATCATTTAATATATCCAATATATTGAATATTTTGTATTGTTTTACTGGATTGGAGAGTTTTAACCAATCATAATGAAATGGCATCTCCTAATAAAATATGTATGCTTTATAAGTATAGAAAACACATTTTAGCATTGATCTCTAGTTGAGCAAATTTTAAAACATTGAGCTTGACTCCATAGTATCTATTAGAATCTTTAAAGAACACTTCTCGCGTGTGTGTTTATCTATATACATATACACACATGAATGGATTTTGCTGAATGAAAGATCCATTGATGTCATCAGGCCATGACTCCAGATGACTAGTATAGTTAAAGAAGCCTCGAGAGACATCATGTGTCTCAATTATTTTGTAGTGAAGAGCAATGGTGGCTTCTCCATAATAGCTGGTTTGACCTGCTTTCCGCTATAAACCCAATTATCCCACCGGTCACTTCAAAATTATCCTCAAACAAGATCTGTTCCTCTTCACACCTTCATATGTAGCCAGTGACTGTCAGCCACTTTTTATTTTATTTTTTGCTAATAATTTAGATAATTCTGCTTCTCCTAGTTACCAGTGCATTGCAGCACTTCCTCAATTGCTCCACTGATACTGGTACCCTGAATCTGTAATAATCACTGCAAATTTCAACACAGTCCCCTGGCTGAGAAGGAGGAAAGAGAACAGCTGTCCCCACCTCTCCTCTGGCCCACCAATGCCCAATCCTCCTGCTTGCCAGCGTGAAGGGCAGAGCTTCATGCATTAGGGAACATCTTTTGTACAATCTTCTGAAATTCTGCCACCTTCCCCTTTCTGAATCAGAACTGCACCAGCTGGAATGACTTCAACACGAGGAAAGATTGAAAAGATTGATTTAGTTTCATGTGGAAAGGAAATTAACGAGAAGGCACATGGAATAATCTAAAATAAATATTATAAAGAGAGTAAATCTTGTTCCCATTTATCCTTTTCATACAAGGAGACTGGGTCGTTTAATGAAATTGAAAGGCAGCAATTTTTAACCAGATAAAAGAAAGCCTTTTGGTATAGTGTGTGCATGGTTATTCAGTGGAACTCATTGCCACACAGTGAGCCAAAGATCTTAGTCAGATTTTAAAAAGGAATAGAAGTAATAGAATAGAAG